ACATTTGTCACAAGTAAGTGGTTTTACTACCTGCCTTTCTTCATCTGTCCAACAATCCTGAAATACATACGACTGATTCTGATTTATGCTAATTTGAATGTCAAGCTTTAAGGGAAAACAAATAAATCAACAGCATCTTTCCTATTTCCCTTAAAGGAATCTGTCAACAGTAGGCATTTGGTAGTATAAGTGTACATTAAAAGCTGATTGCATTAGCAGCAGAGCAGAAAGAGAATGGATTTTTAAAGACATGAACTGAATCTTTTAACTGAAATTGGTCTTTCTCCCACTGCAGGGCTACAACTGGTGTCACGATCGGAACGTGGTCACCATTTTCAGTGCACCTAATTACTGTTACCGCTGTGGGAACCAGGCTGCTATCATGGAACTAGATGACACTTTAAAATATTCCTTGTAAGAAATTAGACTTGGGGATTTGTTTAAAACTAATTTTCTGCCTTTGTGTTTATGTTCAGAAAGTATAATATTTTGTGATATGAACACTGTGGAATGCCTGATAGGGCAAGAAACAATTTATCAAAGGAAAGACAAAGAAAAGATTAGTAGTTTGAAACTTAGATGTTGGGAAAAAAAATATAAGCCTTGATAGGGCAGGATAACAATTGATTCAAGAAGAGAACTTCCCCTTCTCATCAGTGTTTAGCACAGATAACAAAGTTAGAACAGAATTTTAAACAAACAATGGCCGTTTCCAACAGCAGGGTGCCATTTGTGGAAGCTGACATCTGCATCAGTCCTCAGACTAGTCCCTGCATAATGCTAGAGTTGGAGAAATCTCTTGAATCAGGTGGTGACTGCAGGATCCTTGGAAACCAGACAGAAAGTGAAGTGTAGATAATAGCACTGGCTAAAATATTAAGCTCTCTCTTGTTGCAGTTAATTTGCAATACTGTTTCCCCTTTTACATTTCATTACTGCCAGTCAGAAATTCTCTCTGTCATATGTCCCATCGAGTTTAGTGGAAAACCAGTCTATTCAAACACCCACACATTTTTAAAGTCCTAGTGAAATACTCAACTATGCTCTGTCATATCCTTACAGAGCCTCAGGAAAGCCTGAAATATTTTCATTGACTTGATGTCCTGCAACAGGAATTACATTCACAAGGTGGTATAGGAGTTTGGTTATTAATACAAATGTATCAGCTGAAGACTAATCACATAACTGCCTTTTTCATTCTGACAGCCTTCAGTTTGATCCAGCGCCTCGTCGTGGAGAGCCTCACGTTACTCGGCGTACCCCAGACTACTTCCTATAAAAGCCTCCTCCTTGGCCTGGCCTTGAGCAGTGGTAGTAGACCTGCATTTTTTTGAAAAGCAACAATTTATGTGATAAAAGTCGAGGTCTGTCTGAGCATAAAGCCTCTTCATGGACCAAACTGTGCCATAATGAGGATGAGCAGCTTTGAGCACAACTTAAGACTGACTTCAGTATACTAATCAGTCCTTTATCAACCAGTCCAACAGCCAGTTTGCCTGCTGTAACTGTAGTAATTGTTTTCTTCTGGACTGTTCAGAGAGGAAAGGTAACTAATTCTCATCTCCCTTTATGCTTACTTGTACATTTTAGTTGTAGTGTTTAACTGGCATGTATTAACATTTTGAAATCTAAGGAAAATGCACAAACTAACTCCCTATAAAGCCTATTGCCCTCTTATTTTATTGACATAAGTAACTGGAGAAAAAAATCCTTTTGGGAGTATGTTGTCATAAGCTTTCCCTCCATTTAAACTAGATTACTGTTCTGTGTTGATCCCTTTTTTCTGTATATTTGTTATGAAAGTGCTTGCATCTTAATTTGATGTATTTAAACAAATAAACTTGCAGATCATTATTCCAAACAGATGGGTATGCTAAAATAGAACAATTTGTTTCCCACACACACTAACTGCAAGAGATGATCAGTTGTCATGCTACTACTTTATAGCTTGTTTATTAAACCTCCAGAGAAAACACTTATAAACACCACTGTGCTTGTTCTAAAAACTCCACAAATGTAGCAAGAGATTGCTGATATCAGTTTCATGTTGGAATAAAGAGAATAACAACATTTCTAAGAACATCTTTTACTAGTTGATCTCATCTTGTGATTAAAAAGATCTGAGTATTTGTAAGAATTCATGTATACATGAATACATGTATTCATGTTGAACACAGAAATTACTAAACAGGACTTAGTAACAGTTGAAGAAAAAATGTCATCCTAAACTAAACACATCCACTTAGCTCCCCGGCAGACATTTCTCCCGCTTTCCCTCGTCACTGGCAGAATGGGAATGCATTCACTGCAGAACTAGCTTCATGCAATTAAAATCTGTCTGGTTTCTACGGGTTGCAAAGATATTCGTTTGCTGGACGCTGTATCTAGAAGAACGGCAGGATAAGGCTGCCTGGGGCAGATGGCAGAGAAATTTAGTGCCTTGTACACCTTATTCCTTTATGAGGATCAGACCAAATTACGCAAAACTAGAAATATATTGTTGATTGTGGCTGCAGTTGTAACTCTGCCTATTTTTCCATCATACTTGGTCCCAGGGTGTACTAAGTTCTTCCGTTCTTACATCAGTTCTTCCTAATTGGTTAAATGCAAAGGATGAGTGCAGTTTACTGAAAGGTCACTGCTGAAAATCAAGCTTATTTGAAAACCAAATGGATGTTCCATCACAAATAATTAGCAAGTACACTGATTTGAATTACTTTATTGATATTGATTATGACCAAGTACATAGGTCTCACCCACAGCATTCATTTTCTGGTACTTATCCACAGATAAGTAAGTCCATCATTGTTCAGTAGCAGTATAAAAACAAAAAAAACCATATCACTTGAAATGTTAGCTTTGAGTTCAGAAGAAATTTTTTTATACAACTCTGTAAAGATTAGTCCTTACCCATTTCACAAAACATTTCTGTAAGCACCAGGCACATGCGCCTTTTCAACGAAGGGTAACCAGCTCTTCTGAAGAAGTTGGGTGAATGGCCACAGTCTGATCAAAGTCAGCCTTCGTTGCTCCCATTTTGACAGCCACTGCAAAGCCTTGGAGCATTTCATCACATCCCAGCCCTTGCATGTGAAGTCCTACCACCTTAAAACATGAGAACCATAAACACATTAGACAAAGGGCATCAATTACATTTCATATTTAAGCCAGAAGTGTTGCAAACACTTTTTTCCCCTCAATAGCTCCTGTCTTTCCACATTAGGAAAAAATGGGTGTGTGTATGATAAATTTTATTTTCATTTGGTGCACTCTGGTTTTCATATTTGCTTATTTGAGCAACTCAAATTTTTAAGACATCAAATGGTATCTAGCAAAGTGTTTAACTGCCAATATCCTTTGTGAAATCCATTTCATTCTATCTTACTTTCCTCATGTTCGTCAGAATGAATTTATAGGGGAACAACTTGTTGGATCATTGGTCACAAAATCTTTATTCCTCCATTCTTTGCTCACCTTCTCTTGTTTAGTGACGCAGATAAGTTTCATCACACACTTAGTTTTCCTTTTGGTTACAGCATGGTACAGTGGGATAAATGAAGTTGTATAAGTTTTCACATTCTCTACTCCGTGTAAAGCTATCGCTTCCGCTGGAACAAAGAAATACTAAGATAGAAATACAAGTATATAGAACCAAGGAAGTTCATGCTTAAACAATTTTTGCCTTCTTTTGAAGTTGTTGAAGTATTAGAGAATTAGAGTTGGGAAGGAAGTTGGAAGTTAAACTAATTTTAAACTACCTCTGCTTAATGCAAGTGGAGCATCCCTCACAGATGGCTATGTTGTCTCTTGCTTATGCAAAGTTCCTTGCCTATAATAAAAAGAGGACAGAGCTGTCCATCAGTGTCTTGGCTCCAAGACCATGAACCCTACACACCTGGAACTTGGCTGTAGGGGTAATGCACCTCATTATCATTGTTTTTAAAATGTATTTAAATACATCTGTGTGGTTATATCCTGGAGTAACAACTATAGCTACTAGGGTGTGTTATGTGTCATCTCCAACTTATGTCCCATCTTGGCTGTGGTCTCCCTTTGAACTGATGACTAGGCCGAGTTACAGTGGTACCTCGGTTCACGAACTTAATTCGTTCCACAATTCTGGTTGCAAACCGATTCTGGATGCGAACCAAGTCAAATTTCCCCATAAGGTTCAATGTAAACAAGGTTCTGAACCCTATGTAATTTTTTAACCACAAAAATATGAAGCAAAGTACAGTACAGTACAGTATGAAGAGAGAGAACACTAACCTTGCTTGAGGCAACTTTCTGGCGTGGAGGATGCGGCCACGTGTCAAAGTGGGGAAGATGGCCGTGTTCGTGTTCCTGCGAACACGAATGCATCCATCTTCCCCACACGCACACACGGTGCAGGGAAGATGGCTGCGACTGCTCATCACCCGCTGCGGAGTTCACGAACGGAAGCAAAAGTCTGCCAAACTTTCTGTTTGCAAACCAAATTGTTCGTGAACAGAAGCGTTTGTGAACCAAGGTATTACTGTATACGAAATCCTTCATGATTTTAATTTCTTCATTATTAATAAAGTTCTGTAATTCTTCTGTGAACATAGTTTTCTTTTCTCAATACTCAGCTGCAGTCCTACTTTTGTTCTTTACTTTTATCAGGCATTATTTCATTGTGTCTATCTTAAATCAGTGATGTCTGTTCTACCAATTTTCACCCCTTCCTCTGATTCCAATGCAGCTTTCCTTAAGATATGTTCTACATACAGATTGAACACATGCCTTTGCCTATGGAAAACCAGTCTGTTTCTCCGTATTCTGCCCTTAGTGTAGTTCCTTATTCATGATACGGGGTATGCATCATGACAACCCAGGAGACTATGGACAGACTTCCCTAAAAAGCACATAGCTTTACAGAACACACATTTTGGAGCAGGGGGTGTAGCAGGCAGAAGGACAGAGTTGTGTTTCTTATTGCTGTGGGGCAGCATCTCTCAGAGGAATGGTGTGGATAAACCCCTCCAGGAGAACATAGGAGTACTAATGGGCATGACTTCCCTCCGATAAAGTGAACGCGCTATGTCCAATTCTGACAGCTGTGTACATTTAATTGAAAGTTTTGCTCTAACAAATTGGGCTACTCCAAGCCAAGCATTTGCTACTACTTAATACAGAAGTTTCGTGAGCGTACAAGTGAATCCTTGCCAAGGTAAATTTGTCCTTGAGCAGGGGATGAAAACTGGTGGTCATTTGGATGTTGTTGGACTACACTCTCATCATGCTGGATTATTTGGACTGCTCCTTGAGATCAGATGAGAGCAGGAATCTAACATCTGGCAGGCCACATGTCTCTCTCCACTTTCCTAGAGCAATGGTTCAAAGGCACCATTTATGGCCAGCACGAACAGTTTTGTTACAGTGCCGTTTATATGTTGGTCACTGAACCTCACGAGCAAACAGATGAGAGCCAAGCTCCTACCTTCTGTTAGTCCCACTGTTCCAATCGGTGGATGACTGAAGACCACTGTTGGAATGTTGCTGTAGTCCAATTTAGAATCCTCTTTACCTTCGAAAAGCCTATGTGCCAGTTTCCTTCCAGCCGCTATTGCAACTGTAAAAATAATATGCCATACCATTGAACATTGCAATGCCCATTATCCACTCCTGTGCACGCAGTTTATACTGAGGAAAGATGTACTACAATGGGGAAATTGTAGGGTCCTAGCAATTGATGCATTACCTCCTCCTCATGAATGTAACCACAGGATCACTCCCCTGGCCTCTCATGTGAACTGCACCTATAATTTTATCTTTCGTACGTTCCTGTGACAGGTGGTTTACACTACAGAGTTTGTAACTTGTCCAAACAGCTATATGGAGGATTCCAGCACATGCGAGCCAACCCACAAACATTGTTGTAGTGTATTGCCTTAAGGTTGGCAGAGAAATGTCAAAAGGAATACATTTGAACTGAGAAAGTAAAAGGCAGTAAGAAAAGCCAGGAACCTCTATCAATAGCATCAAATACATTCTGTAAGAAAATAGGAGCAACTCTGATGAGCAACACAGAAGACCCATCTGGTGCAGCATTCTGCTTCCCACAATGGCCAGCCTGATACCATGGGAAGCCTAAAAGCAAGGCATGAGAACAACAGACTAGGCTTTGGATGAACCCTAGCAGAATCCATTCCTCTAGTACTTCCTCTTGTGTTCAGCCTGGTCTTGCAAGGCAAGCAGAGCTGAGAGGGAGTCTGTGGACACCCAGGGAATGCTGACTGTACAACCAGCAACCATCTTCCACATCAGGTGCAATTAACACAACGGCTGATGCAGGTGGGGTGCAAGAGTGCTGCTCATGCAGCATGTGGGGCTTGGTTCCTGGCAAGCCCCCCACCAACACAGGGCATACATGCCCGGAAGTCAAGACTTTGGGCCACTGCAAGCAGACCAGAGTCTGGGGAGTCAAGCAACCAATTCCCACTCCCTCCAGCATCCCTACAACAGACCTTTTCTGTGTTGTTTCCCAACTACTGGTATTGAGGTGGTATATATTCTTTGTGACTAGCAGCCACTGACAACCACAGCCAGTTTAGACACCATCGGTGCAAATATGAAGGTAATATAAAGTGATGCATAAAGAAAGAAAAAAATATCCTTTTTTTACATTAAATCCCATTAGGACTTTTATTCCCAATTTATATAGTGTGGAAAGATCTTTTGGAGCTATGAACATATATATATTTCTGAATCTGAAACAGATTCCTGACAGACTTCACAATACGACTTAAAAAAATACTGTTACCTGGCGTAAGAAGTGCTTTCCCACACACATCTCCGACAGCATATATCCCCTTCCTGCTGGTATTCTGGAACTCATCAACAATAATGTGACCTATGCCATCTACCTTCACACCCTGAAATTGAAAGGGAGAATTAAAGGTCAAAGCTGTGGTCTTGGGAAATGGTACTGAGGCTTTCTCTCCTTGCAATAGTAAGAAACAGGACAAAAAAGCAGGGAACTATTTCAAAGAGGAATCATGCACTTTGCTTTAATCGTAAGTTCAAGAAGTGAGCTGTCTGACTTAATTTTCCTGTTCAACTTTTAAATAGTGTTTTTCAAGTCTTTCAAATATTTTTTAAGTAGTGTTGGTTAGGGAAATATTGTAGGAAGAGGAGCATTGAAAGCTTGTAGGGTGCCGCTCAGGCTGGATTTGACGTTCCATGAGCTCACAACAAACTAAAAACATTTGATTAGTCATCTAGACTTCGGTTAAATCAGTTTATTAGTTTGCATAAATTAAAAACAATAGCCCTGAAACAATAATCCTACTATAGTGCAGGCATGTCTTCTAGCATTCTCTTGGTGAAATAAAAGGGGGACTATTTAAGTTGAGATGTATCATCAACAGTTTTTATTACTTCTGAACTAAATTCAGTGTTACATGAGCAGATTTCCACTAACTCTGTGGTAGTTCCCCTTCATCCTTCAGCCCCTTTGCACACCTCCCAAGTCTGTTTCAGAATTCTAATAGGAATTTGATCTGCCTCTGATGTCTTTTCTGCTGACAGAAGGACTCTGTTGGGTGTAATCCATTCAAAAAACCCCAAATCAGCCGCCTGATTAGTTGGGGCAGGTTTTAAGTTATGCACAAGCTCTTTTAACTGATTAAATACTGTTCCTAATCATTACATTATGCCAACTACAATATAACCCTGAATTATCTATGCAGTGCATTTATACCCCATCTAGGGCCAAAAGGACAAGATCATTCTTGCTCACCAGTTGGTCAAGGTTTAGCCCCTCTGTGTTTGGCTTTCTGCCAATGGCCCACAAGAGGCAATCAACATCTTCAATAGTGCTAAAAGTAGGTTTCTGATTGGGAGGAGAGGATGCTACATTTATTGCCAGCTGTCCTGAAGATGACTTTGTGACTGATTTGATCTGTCGAGAAAGAAGCAAACAACTGAGAAATAAAAGCACAAAACAGTACACTGCACTCATCACCAAGTGTCAGTAATACGACAGTGGATTTTTGGGTGTGAGTCTCAATTTTTTCCATCAAATTTTTCCTATTACATAGTTTATGTCAATTTTTTGGTAAGATCCAAAAAAGATCCAAAATTTTTTGGGCAAAATCTCCGTTATTTGCCAGGTCCTACATGTTGTTGAGTTATAGGTAATGAAAGCACTGTTTCACTGTGTATGATACAAAACTCGGCTTCCTTAAAATATCTGCTTTGCTTTGAAGAAAAAGTGTGCTGACATCTCAGGAAGCCAAGGGCTGTCCAAACATTTTCTGGTGCTCACAGGATAGGATTTGCTTATTCTGCTTAGACTGTTCCACTGTTTCTAACAAGCTGGATAATGGGGAAATAAACGTTGAAATAAATTATGTATAAAAATAGATTATGCAAGCATGCCAATCTCAGAGATGGCAACTTCTGACCCTACAAATGCTTTGGCCAGTAACTTCCTTTAGTCCTAAATGTAGGTCCATTAGGCAGAAGCTCTCTTTGTGTGCTCTCTAAAGTGCCTACTTATTGCTACTCAGGGACTTACAGGCCACTGGGGAGTACAGTACACCTCCTCCTTGGCTGGAAAAGATGCCACATTTCAGAGCAGTAATGGAGGGGCTCAGTGATAAAGGGACAAAGAATTCTATTTCATCTGGTTTGGTTCACCAATTACTTGTTGGCCACAGATACAAGAAGCACTAATGTTCTCACCCTGCCAACCTGAGAAGGAAAGCTACCCAGGTGTTCATAAAAAGTGGCATGCTTTGCCCAATCTGGCAAACCAAGCATTTCAAAGGATTTTCCTGCTGTGTGGATTTGGGATGCGGGAAAGATGTGCTATCTTTTAAGGAAGCCACAAAGGTAGGTGGCCTGGCTCAGGATGCTCGTAGCTTTTAGCAGAAGGTTAGCCCCACACTACACCCTCCCACCTAGAGGGAGTTGGGAGGGGTCCTGCTTCCCCCAAATCTTTCTTCTAAAGGGAAGCAGGTTAACACAGCAGCAATACTGTGCATTCAAGATCAATTCTAGCAGGCCTACGTAAAGCTTAACTGGCACCCCAGTAGGAAATCATTGGCAAACAAATGTGCTTATGTCTCCAACACTGCATGCAAAGTTAGGGAGAAGAAGGTAGTAGGTAGATAATACCTGTGCGTGTTTCCAGAGTTCTACACCACCATGTTCCAGCTGCTCGGTGCAGTTTGAACTAATCATCGAATCAAAATTTCTCAGCACCTGTAAGAAAAATCCTTTTGTTAGTGCCAAGATGCTACTCATCCACATGGAAAAAGGACACAGTACCCTGCCCCTCTTTGGAGCTAGTGTAGCAGAATGACTTAAGTCTGAGCGACAAGCCTGGAAACCCCTGGTTCTTAGCAGCAGCATGGCCTAAACCTACAAAGCTATCGTTCCCTCCCTCTTATCCTCCCACTGCCTGTACTTCTGCAATAACTGGATTCTAATTGTCGTTGTTGTTAGTTGTGAAGTCGTGTCTGACCCATCACGACCCCATGGACAACATTCCTCCAGGCCTTCCTGTCCTCCACCATCCGCCGGAGTCCACTCAAGCTCACACCAACTGCTTCAGTGACTCCATCTAGCCACCTCATCCTCTGCCATCCCCTTCTTCTTTTGCCATCTATTGTTCCCAGCATTAGGCTCTTCTCCAGGGAGTCCTTCCTTCTCATTAGGTTGCCAAAGTATTTGAGTTTCATCTTCAGGATCTGGCCTTCTAAGGAGCAGTCAGGGTTGATCTCTAGGACTGACCGGTTTGATCGCCTTGCGGTCCAAGGGACTCACAGGAGTCTCCTCCAGCACCACAATTCAAAGGCCTCAGTCCTTCATTGCTCAGCCTTCCTTATGGTCCAGCTTTCACAGCCGTACATTGCAACTAGGAAAACCATAGCCTTGACTATATGCACTTTTGTTGGCAGGGTGATGTCTCTGCTTTTTAGTATGCTGTCTAGATTTGCCATAGCTTTCCTCCCTAGGAGCAAGTGTCTTTCTTGGCTGCAGTCCCCGTCTGTGGTGATCTTGGAGCCCAAGAAAATAAAATCTGTCACTACCTCCATTTCTTCTCCATCTATTTGCCAGGAAGTGAGAGGACCAGATGCCATGATCTTAGTTTTCTTAATGTTGAGTTTCAAGCCAACTTTTGCACTCTCCTCCTCCTTCTCCTCCTTTAGCTTTGTTAAAATGTTGATTTTCACTACAAATTTAGAATTTATATTCATGTTTTGTCTGTCAGCCAAGTAAGGTTTCATTAATTGGTGGACAGAGCTAGTAATTACCTATGCATTCATGCATAGTCACAATTCTATTAATTAAAAATAATTTAATTAATTAAATAGAATTAAATAATTCTATTGCATAATTGCCCATGCAACGATCATGCACTTTCAGACCAAGCCTAGATCTGAGACTGGTCACTAAAGGAGATTTGACAGTCTCTTGCCTGACCTGTTCCAAAATGTAAAGCATTACAAATGGGAACCTTTACAGTCACAAATATCTGGGTATCTTATGTGAGTTGGGCTAAAAAACAAAGTTGCCAAAGCAACATAGTTGCCTTTATGAATAAATGAAGATCTGTCCTTGCCCCCCCCCCCCCCCCGATGTCTACTGTCAACACACCAGTTACTTCACCCCACTGGCTCTTAGATTCACAAGCATGCCACAGAGCATGCTTTCAACCAGAAGAAATGTAAAGATAAGCAGGAGAGAGAGAAATACATACCAGAACAAACAATATATCCGTAGATATGCACACAGAGGCGCAAACATGACCAGCAGATGCTTTTTAGACTCTGCGAACACTTCCAGCTCAATTCTGAGAGGGTGGGGGCAAGGGCAGACCTATTCTAAAAAGTAATAAATTGCAACTCTACCATATTTTGAAGATCTCTGCTAGATTCCGAACACTCTTAAATATAAACTCTTGAGAGAGTCAAGATTTTCAAAGCAATAGTGGTATCTTGAATACTGCTTAAGCCCCTTCCAGTTTAAACAATGGCATAAACACTGGGGCACGGCTTGGTCCCTTCTGAGTTGTCATGTGCAATAATAGTGCAATCCTGTTAAATCATAATGCTTGCTCTGTGGTTGTAAGAACGGGATCCTGTCCACATGTTACAGCAGCTAGGTCACAGGCCTGGAGCATGCAGCTACCAACCACCAAGTATCCCAATCAAATCAAATCCTAGTATTGCTTCTGTTATCACCCACAGCTCAACACACTGCATTAATTCAGCACAAGGAAGAAGTAAGTGAGTATGCCTTACCTTATCATAACGTATCAGTAAGGAAGTCTTTGAACCCAAGGTTGCAAGGATACCTGCAATCTCTACAGCTATGTATCCAGCGCCAACAACAACACTACGCCTAAGAGAAAAAATTATGGAGTTTGAGGCATCTCTCTCTCACACACACGGCTCTAAATACATGCTGGGTGAGAGAGAGGGTGAATGAGCCTGAGGCCTCCAAACGTGAATGGATTTGCACTCCTATGAGTCCCAACTTAGATAGTGGCAGGAGATAATGGAGAGTTGCAGTCTAGCACATCTGGAGGACCAAATGTTCTCCATTTGATTTACACCCTGAACTGTTAATATGATTCTGCCCTGAATGTCTTATATGGAGGCAAAATGAATTTTTAAAAACTAGTTTGCCCAATACCACTCTGTAAATTGGAATCAAAGAGAAGCAATCAATGCTGATTGCTCCTAGTCCAAACTGCAGCTCAAAAGTAAGAAATATATCAGTCAGTCAAAGAAATATCAGTCAGTCCAACAACTGTTCAATAAAGAATCCTGAGCTAACTGATATCTCTTTTTCTGGTAAAAGCTTTTGCCTTCTCAGAAATATTGCTGACTGGGTCAAAAAGGCCAACTTCCAGGTAAATGTGCAAAAGATTATCACATGCTTAAGCTCTCTTCCACTAGAATTAATGGAACTAAAAGTACTTAACTTTGGCTGGATCATATGCCTATCAAACACTGAAGGGAATAAAGAGCATTCTTATATAACTCCGATATTGCCTAATCCTGAAAAAAGGCATCAAGACAGACAATGGCAAGTGAAATATTAACTAGCCTGACTTTTTTCCTTATTCAAACTTCACTTTTGAGGAGTGGCACATATATATAAATATGGGACAATAACTCATAACCAGCATGTTCTGTTCACCTAATAAGCTCCATTACAAAGTTGCAAATCACAAACAGGTTCACACTAGAATGGCCTGAACTGACTGCAACTTACTTTGGCAAGTCTTCAAGTTCAAAGAACCCATCACTAGTAATTCCAAAACTTGCCCCTGCAAAGCAGTGAAAAGTACATTTGTTTATTTATTTAAAACTTTTCTACACCCATCCCTTCGCAGATGTCTCAGGACTTTTGTCTGAATATTCATTAGATTTGTAAATAAATGGATCAAACTCATACACATATTCAGCATTTCTGACAACTTATTCCTTCATATTAGTCCCCTTCACACATTTTTAAAATACACGGCTTAAAACATACAAAAGAAATTAACATGTCTGTCACTGAGTTACATTTGCAAGAGGGCGAGGATTGGTATATATATGAGAGAGAGAGGGAGAGGGAGAGGGAGAGGGAGAGGGAGAGGGAGAGAGAGTTTTTATTACTTCTGAACTAAATTCAGTGTTACATGAGCAGATTTCCACTAACTCAGTGGTAGTTTCCCTTCATCCTTCAGCCCCTTTGCACACCTTCCAAATCTGTTTCAGAATTCTAATAGAAATTTGATCTGCCTCTGATGTCTCTTCTGCTGACAGAAGGACTCTGTTGGGTGTAATCCATTCAAAAACCCTCAAATCAGCTGCCTGATTAGTTGGGGCAGGTTTTAAGTTATGCACAAGCTCATTGCCCTTGCCTGTCTACCATGACACCAGGACCCCACAAAGTCACTTGCCTGCTCATGAGCAAGGTGCCCAGAAGCTCCCATCTTCTCTCCTTCAGCATCCTCTCTCATGCTTAGTAGCCTAGAGGATCCATAAAAGGACAGGAGTCCCCAGCTTGGCTTCTTTTCCTCTCCAGAGAAACCCCAGCTTCTCCCCCTGTGTATGCGTGTCAGGGAAGAAGGAAGGGCACGGTTGTATCCACTTTTCCCTACTACCACCATGCCTCAAATCAAACCAGAGAAATCTGTGATTCTTCCCAAAACACTCTGTTCTTAGCTGAAGAGGTGGGAGAGAGGAACAGTCTTGGGCAAGCACAAACGGGGGCCGGCTAGTAAGCCAAGCACAGCTTAGTGGAGGCCTATTATGACACAAACGGGGATCAGCAACTCCCCAAATCAGACAGACACCACCTATCTGGCACACCTGTGCCTTTAGCCTAACCCTCTTTGGTCCAAGAACCGCATTCCGATATGGGAAAAGAGTCAATGGAAAAACCCTTCAGTTTCACATAGCATACCAAAGACCAAGCCTCTTTGTGCCTACTGAGAAGCAAGCATAAGCATCATGTTTGCTCTGAAACAATGCAAGCCTCTGCAGGTTTGCTCACAAGCAAGCAGGGTATGCCCATGAAGGACAAACCTAAGAAGCAGATTAGGCTAATGAAGCATCTTTCTGCCCAGGCCCCACCCTCTTTCCCTGGGAGGGAAAAGCTTTTATCTCTGATTGAAGATGGGAGCTTTTTGCTACAGAGCACTGAGAAAGGGTGCCTTTTCTGGTACACAGCAGAGAAACAGCTCTTCTCTCTGATCAGCTGCAGTTTGAAGAAACCAGCTCCTGCATCCCAGGGAGAGGGAGCAGGGCCCAGGAAAGGAGCGGAAGGGTTGGATGGGGAACTCCTACAGCTGGTGTCTGGCTCACAGGTCAGAACTTCATCATCCCTAGCCTAACCCCTTGAAGTCCCTGTCCCCAAACGACATATACATGCAACAGCATTTGCTTCCACTTATCCACATTACCCTTCCCTCTCTTTTTCCTGCCCCACTTTTTGGTTCCTTTTCAAACCAAAATACAAACATACACGGAAACAGGAATGGCTCTGGAAGATTTCTGTTGGAGAAAATGCTCTGCCTCTCCACCCTCTTGCTCCTCAAACAACCTGTTCCTGGTTACAAAATAAGTATGAATTATAGCTCCTCTACTGTGCTTTAGTCAAGCAGCCCAATTGAGTGATTGACTGGAGCAGCTGAACACTTTTCTGTTCTGAGCAAGGCAAGCGACTTTGTGATTTGCACTGTCCAGCCCTACCCAAAGAAGAGGGGAAAGTGGGCCAGTCAGCACTGTACACACATATTTGATAGGTTGGGCCAGTCAGCACTGTACACACATATTTTCTGCTGCCAGCAGGAAAAACAAGTTTCCCTCAGAGTCAATCTGGAGACTAAAATTGCATGTCCTGTCTAGAATGTGATTATTTCATTCCCACAGTAAGCTCATTCATGCAAGCCCTGAGGTTGTAAGCTCCTTAAAGTGGGGACCATGCCATGCCTCTCTCTCCTCTCCTCTCCTCGCCTCTCCTCGCCTCTCCCCTCCTCTCCCCTTTAGGTGGGAGTATATAACCTGTTCCAGAATAGACTGATTGCCACTCAATCAGTCAAAGAAGCCAGCCACACCAGGCATCTCCGACTTATCCGTACTGAGTCTTAATTTACTGCCCCTCATCCAGTCCATTGCTCTGTCCAAACACCGGTTCAGAACATCAGCTGAACCAGTTGCGCAAACTTACTGCAGTGTGCTACGGAGGGTGCAACCAACCTTCTCTTCTGGGCCAGGTTGCAGCAAGACCCTTATCTCCTGGAAAAGCTCACCTGTGCAATCCTGTCAAGATGCCATGACGTTCCAAAGAAATGCTTCTTTGCTACCCTCACTAGCACAGAGCACGCTTCATAACAGGCTTTACAAGATGCCCTCCAGCAGGAGCTTTCCCCCACCTACATTCTAACCATCAAGCCTCTTGCTTCTTTGCCCTCCACTCAGATATACATCAAGGAACTGCCCAGGATGTGCAAATGAGGTCTTGAGGCTCATCTCTGGCCAGGAAGTCCTGCGCTGCCCTAGATACAATGGCCTCAGCCTATACGTTAAGGTCCTGCAAAGCAGCCATCTTGGGAATCCTCAACATCAGAGACCATCAGTAAGACAACATTTTCAGAATCCCTGATCTGTTCCACATGCCCAGCATTAAGTTATAAACACTAAGGCTGGCCCTCACGCTGGGAAGCCTCGAGAGCAGAAGCTACTGCATTTGCCAAGGGCTGAAGTTACAAATGAAGTAATATAGCATGGAGCCTTTTGATGATTCTAAAGCAGTGAGCTGAACTGTCAACTCCGCCTTCAGCAGAGACCCTCTCTAAAAATAGGACAAACACACCAATTAAAGTCTTACCTGGTATCTCACTTTCACTGGGAACCAGAGGCTGCCCACCAGTAGCAATCAGGATGTGGGGTGCAGTGTATTTTTTACCACCAACTTCAAGTGTGGGTTCCTGATCAGATGTGAATGTTGCATGGCCAATAATGGTTTCTATATGAGCCTAGTGAAATCAAATTCAGATTGAAGGTCCAATCAATGCATTCGGTCATACACCAGATAAAGAACAGGCTTCAGATCATATTATAGCTGACTCTTTTGTCCTAGAATTACATGATTGGTACCTGCATCCTTCTCCCATCTATTCTTTCTCTGATCTATGTAAACAGGTAAGCTATTTTTGTTCATTCATATATATTTGATCAATACCCTAGATGAGTTCCTAAAATGAAACCAAGAACTAAGAACATACTTATAGTGCAGACTAACTCATTATTCCACCTTCCCAAAATCCTTAAAGGAACTAGCAATTTCTAATAAAAGGAATTCATAGCAGTGTAGAACTTTTTTTGGGGGGGTGGGGGGAACTAGAAAATTCTCAGAATTATTTAGAGAAACAATGACAGCCAAAATGGTACAGCATCACTGCAAATTTACAATGTACAGAAGGAGAAGGCTCCCTAATAGAAGGGACAGTGCAACACCACAAGAATTTTTTCTGATTGCCTGCATGCATTATGTTGAATTCTAAACAGGGAGTCACTTTTAAACCAATTTGCTCTAAAAGAATAGAAATTTCCGCACACCAACAGTGGTTGTTCCAAAGCAAGAATGCGACCCTGTTTTTTAAACTGACCTGGTTTGGACCTATCGGCAGTTCGTGCATTATTCAAGCCATGCATTATTGAAATCTAGCAGGGGTGAGCAAGGGTTCTGTCACACTTGGCACTTCCACTTTTAATTAACAATTTATAATAACCCCATTCATAGGCTTTTACTGTGTCATCTGAACCCAGGAACTCTGGGTTATTTATGTGTCAAAACAACCCAGAGTTAACCCATACAATGGGTCTTCAGGGGTCAGAACAGGGGTCTTTAACTTTTTGGGCCCATATGGGAATTTAAGACACCACCACAAAATGGTTCGCATGGAAGATGTGGCTAGTCATATAATGGCAGCTAGTCAAAAGAAAATAACTACTTCAAGAAACTGAATACAAGTAGAGGAAGGGCATGATCTCCAAAGTCAATTCACATACTCAAATGCAAGGAAGCACAATAGAATGCCCATTTTCAGTTGCAATCATATGCAAGCTTACACAGAGCTTAGTGGGAATTACTTCTGAGTAGATCTAAATAAAATTGCACATGCACACCTTTCCCTAGCCGGAAAGGGAAAGGGAAATGTCCTCAGGCACAAAGAAGAGAAAATATATTCCTTACCTTGCCCCAGACTCAGCCACTTCATTTTGCACCTGGAGCTCCTATCTCCTCCTCTGTCATCAGAGCCCCCATGCATTAAGGTACTTTCTGTGTGTCTGTACATGTACGCACAGAATGAGCGAAAAGGCTGAGAAAGAAGGACAAAAGAGCAAGGCTGGAGAAGGAAGAGTGAGAAATGGATGAGAGAAGAAAAAGCACAAGGCTATGGAAGGGGAAGTAACAAGAGACACAGCAAAGCTGAAGGCTAAAAGCAAGAGAAACAGTGTGGTAAAAGTTGGGAGAAAGGGAAAAATAGCCAGGCGGGGGGGAGAGCAAGATGAAAGTGGGGAGAAACAGCAAGGTAAAGAAAGGGTCAGGAGAACAGCAGGAGGTGGGGAAAGGAGGGTCACAGTAAGGGGTGAGTGGGGGAAAGGCAGCAAGGCTTGGGACTAGAAGGGGAGGAAAAAAAGTTAGGGAACAGTAAGAAAAGGGGTGGGAAGACAACTAGTAAGAGTTGAGAGATTCTAAGGAGAAAGGTCTATGTGGCTAGGAAGCAACTCTTCCTTTCTCTTCATGATCACCACATAGCTGATCAGCAGCAGCTTCGGGAACAAGCAGAACCTGGTGCCTTAACCATTTTCAGAGTGTTTATTAAAAATACATTTTGGAAGGAAACAGGAACTGGTGAACTATCTGGACCCTGCTGGAATTCTCTGCGGGTGTCATAGAGCCTGTGGGCACCATGTTGGGGACCCATGACCCAGATTCCCCAGGTTCTGTTACCATAGTAACAACCTACCAGTGAGGGAATTGTAGATTGTTTACTGGAGGTGGAAGTGACAAGCATGGGAGGCAGTCTGTCTATTTGTTCTTGCTCATGCCCAACCATCCATACTTTAAAGAAATGCTAGCATTGCCCTGAGGAGCAAACCAGCCCACTGTGAAATTTACCAAATGTACAGCAGAAGGAAAGAGTTTAAATTGGTGGAGGTGCAGAATAGGATAGTTTACAAACCTTGTTCAAATTATTTTGATAGATCCCATTCAGTCGTTTTACGTAAGCATCACGCTTTTCTTTAATTATTCTGTAATAAAATAAGTTTTATGTCACAAAGCTCTCTCTCTTGCCACTAATACCATACTTCAAAACTTGCACCTCCTTTTTTATCCCAACTTACTAGCTTGGATTCAGATTTAAGCTGGATCAATTGCACTGGCAGAAGTGAGTCCAGAGCTGTTGATCCAGCTTAAATCTTCTGCCTGTACAAAGCTTTCCTTATGCTCTCCCTCCCACAGCAGTCTCTTCGGTTAGATGAAAATGCTACACAGAAAATCAAATAAATTTGCAGAATCGTGTATATCAGATTTAACGCACAATAAAAATAAGGTATTTCACACATCCAGAGAGAGCAGCTTATAAAAGTCAGGCACAATACAGTAAATCCAGTTTTTAGTTATTTATTTAATTTTGTTTAAGAAATTTATTTTCCATTTTGCATTGCAACATAATCTCAAAGCAGGGTCCAAGCAATAACTTCATACATGTCAATCTATTGACTAAAAACTAACTTTTTAGCTGTGGAGGATTCTTTCCACCGCTGGCTCTGCTGCTGCAATGCAAAAGATACATCTTGTGCCCATCTCCAGTTCATTTCAGTGAGAAAAGCCTCTAAGAATTTCCAAGCGGACTGCATCCTATTCATCAGGTCTGCATTTCCTGCATTTGGTCAGGCTTAACCCTGTTTAAAATCTGGAGCTAGGTAAATTGTTAACCTTGTGTTTAAATGGTTGAGTTTCCGAGAAGTAAACATTAAAGCAGTGAAAGAAAAGGATTGGGATTTTACTTCTATGTTTACTACACAGAAATCTGGCTATCTAAATGTGTGTGTCCCATCAGAAATTCTTCAGTTGGGTCCTTTTCACAGGATGCGCACCTACCACTAAAACTCACAGCACAAGTGACAGATTCCTATCTCCATACACTATGGTGCCATGACCAGAAGGGAGAGCCTGATGTGCGAATGAGTATCACATAAATATTTAGCCTTCTTCACCAGCTATACAGCTTTTAAACAAACTTTTTTCCTGATCACCCTTGTTCGCATATTACAGCAGCAATTCCTGAGTTGTGGGGATAAGTAGTATATGAGCTGCTCAATTCCCATTTGAATTTACTGTCTTGCTAACCCATAAACCACGCATAGGTCCTGGATTTCCACATCACAAAAGAATGCAAGAATGGGGTGGGGTCTTCCTGGGTTGTTAATTGAGATTGGCTTGCACGCGCCACCCATCCTTGACAATTCTTGGGTTATATAACCTATGAATTGCCATCATGATGTGTGAACCTAGACCAATCAGATTACTCCATAAAAAGAGATGGGTCCCTGCAAGAACTTATGAATGAAGATACAAACACAAACTAGACTTTTGAATCATCTGCAACATCTAAGTGAAATCCCCTTCAAATGCAGGCAAACAGCTCCATTATGCCAAACTGTGCAGCCCCTTCAAGGTATCATATATGCAACCAGTAAAAGGGCAATTAGGTTTTAAACTAAGTGTTATATTATTAGCATTGCACATTTGATCATGTGTGTTTAGATTTGGAGAGTGCTTGCTTATTTAAACCACAGGTACTCCAGATTTTGACCTCACTTACCGCCATTTAAACTTTACATCAGATATTTCAAAGCCATAATCCGCATGATCATGGAGAAATTCAGAATGGACAGCAGTATTCCACATCACCTGTTTAATTTAATGTAAAAACAACCAAAATGAAAAGCTCTCTTATGCAGAACAAACTGGGTAAAATCCTTTTATATGGGGAAAGAGGTGCCATGCGTAAGGATTGAACCTGGGGACAGTGGTTTGGGCCATCCGGCACACACAACCTCTGCTCCACCAAACTAACCCACCAGACATATATCACACTATGCCAAATGCTTCACAAGCTCTTTCACATTCCTCAGCAGATGATAAACATCACCCCAACAAGCCACACCCTGTATATTAAATTCAACCCTGGGCTATAAAATGTTGTTCTGTGCCTTAAGGGAAAAAGACCTAAGCAAGGAGAAGCACTTGGGGGCTTCGAACGTGGCATCTGCTGGACTTTTCTTTTGAACTATTTTAAGCCACCCATTTCTGGCACAAGTGTTCCTAGAAAACTTAAAAAAAATTGCAAGGCACAAATTAAGGTCTGCTGTACTGACCATTCTCATTTAACTTGCCTAAATCAAGTTAGGCACAGTCTTTGCACAATCTTTGTACAAGTCATCCTCTGTTAGTGACAGGAATTTTTATCAAGAACAATTCCACACATTTGCTAGGTTAATAGGTTTAAAAACCCCTCTTCCATCAACAGAAGTGGGGCTGAGGTTCTACCATCCTAAGTTATTTTTTTTGCCTTTAGTGTAGCGTTTTGTATCATTTTAGACATGTTCAGGCATGTTAATGGAAAATGCACATTTTAGAAATAATGAACTGTATCCAGCGGTGTCATTCCATTCGTTTCTATTGCAAACCCTACCATCTGAGTAACCTTTTTTCTTGTGCGAGTATCCAATCCAATATTTTGATTCTATTTGTGCAAGCGATTGTACAACTCATTACAACTTCATTGCACCATGTGTTGCTTGTGTTAGTTCTGGATTATATTTAATATTTTGCTAGTGTGTAAATGGCAAGAAATGATATCATTTAACAAGTTGGATCCATAAGTGCTTTCAGAATAAGTGAAAGCAACACCTAGTCTAATTCAGTCATAATGAGTTTGGCAATGCCTAGTTTTTATTATTTGCAGAAGAGTTTGAGCAGTACCTTGCACAAGCAAAATCAAAGGACTGGACTAGACACTCGTGTAAGGATAACTGTAGGTGGGAGTAGTTAATTTGTACTTGTAGAAAGAAAGCACCGCTGCAACCCGGTATAAGTAACATTTGTTCTGTACACTGCAGTGTAACTTGGCTCAGAATGAAAAAGTCTTGAAATTAGTCATCCAAAAGAACTAGCAGCCATTCCTTCAGGGCAAGAAACATGCCGGCACAGTGTTAAATGTTCTGGCTGTGACACAAGGTAACAGGTTAAACAGGGAAGCAGGCTTGCGTGGGGGGGGGGGGGCAGTATGTTAATTTCCTTGTACTTATCTGGAAGGCAAACTTAAATGGTAAAACTCTTTTTAAAATACTTGTTTTATATACCAATTTGGGGGCACACATATGAACCTCAGACAAAATCTTAGTAGATTCCCAGCAAGTTAGGCTCACTCAGTTTTCACTTCCTTGAGCGATAATAGCAGCAAGGTTTTTTTTAAAAGATTGATTCATAGCACCACATATAACATGTTAAAAGATTTGATTGTTTTGTTGCTTTACCTTTTTGGGTACACATCCAACGTTCACCTATGAAAAGAATAAACCATGTCAAATACTAGCACTTCTAAGAAAACCAAGTATTTACAAATCATGCACAGATTAGAAGCTTCTTTGATGGAGTGATCGTTGTTATTAATTACAATATCAAAATGTGCATTATCAAGACAGGTGTTGGCATAGGGTGAAGAAAATCCTGCCAACTGCAAGGCATCTTTCCAGGTCATTGCTTTACTGTGCACAAAGCAGAGAGACACTACAACGTGCCTGCAAAAGCCCTAGATGTCTAGTGAAAGGATTGGAAGGGAAAAGGTGTCCTTTAACACCCAGTGCCCAAGTACAGTGCCTTAGTTTTCCCCACAGAAATAATTTGCAAGTATTCCCCAAGGGCAAACCTGGGGACACTGTTGGAGCAGAACCAAAACCTATTTTCCGGCTTTGGTGCCTGGAATTTTAGGAAACAAACCAGTTCCACTCTGCAAAACCTCATCCTAGGTACCTTTTCTGTTCATGATGGGGTAATGGAAAACGGCTTTCATTAAGATAGATTGCCACATCACTTCAGTACTAAACTAAGCAGGTATCCACTTGGTTAGCACCTAAATAGCGGACTGTTGAATGTCTGAGCTTTCTGAGTTTTCTAAAGGACAGGAAATGAAATATAATAAACAGATATTCAGATCTGGTTAAAATGTGTATTAATAGTATTTTTAAATAATGGGAGTGTCTTTTGGTTGATGTCCTCTGCTCCTTTCTTTCACTTTAAAGAGAATCTTTACAAATAATCAATCCAATTCTGAGACTTTAGCAATTGCTGGAAGACTTTAAAAGGTGTCCATTTAATGTTGCATTTCAGTCTTTTAGTTGCTACTTTTTTGCTTTTAATTTAACAGGTGGTTTTATCTTTTCATTACATTTGTGCAGAATTCTATGTTTTCACGTTTTGTTGATCCATTGTGTATTAGCCATTTTATGTACCGGATAAAAAGCGGGACAAAAAAACCAATAAAGTAAATAAATGGCACTTATGCTCTATTACATGATGCTGGAATTTTGAGCCGGGCAGCTTATCCATGGCCCTATTCTTATCCCCAAACAAAATGACCCAAGGAGGGCAGAAGGGAAGACTCACTTGCCTTTAACACCTGCCTGGCAATGTTTTTCATGGCATACCAATTATTAGAAACTGCATTGAACTTTTGTCTGCTGGGTAAATCTTAAAGCTACAACAGCCTTTCTACAAAAAACATTAGCAAGCATTTCACCTACTTTTTATGAGGCGGCCCCTTGGACAGCAGCAGGCCAAAAGGCTTCCCTGCTCCATATACAAAAGTATACTACAAGCAAGTGTTCTAAACACAGAAACCACTTGAGAGGAAGTATCCTGTACTTCTAATAGCTCTGTAGAAAAGGCATCTTAGTGTGACAAGACGCACATGCCCAAATTCCCTCTTCTGTGAAACTATTAAGGTTCTGTTATAACATAGCAGTTAATCTAAGCTGGGAATCGCTCAGTTTAAGACTCCCATAAGCAAGTCAGTGCCTTGATCTTCTCCCTTATCTGCACAGTACAATTCCTTGTAATATGGTTATTATAAGTCATCGACCTTAAAACGTTGTAAGGATGTCTGAGTACTGGATCCCAAACTGTTCAAGAATCACTTCTGTTGTGAATTAATAGTTCTGTGCATTATTAATTTAGGTCTGGCACTGCATTTTATTGTTCTGTATAACAGCAAGTTATTATTATTGCCAGAATTTTGGCTACATAAGAAATAAACAGTCAAAATACTGCAATACACACAAATAATTCATGATTATTAAATTGCTACTCTTGTCGCCTCCATTGCTGAAATAAAGGTTACAAGTTCCTTGAAAACAGGGACCCTTTTTTTTTTTGGCTTAATAAAGTGCAATACCCACTGATAGTGCTATAGAGAAGTAAGAGGGGAAAAGAAAGGGCCCAGGATGACTGGGAAATGAGGCCATTCATTCCACCAGTCCTGTTGAGCAATATTTTCTCCTTCATTTCTCTTCTCATTCCTTTATCCTTTCATGTCATGTCTTTAGTTTACAAGCCACAGTGTCTTATTTTACTGATTATATGCAAACTACTCCAGATTATATGTATTTATTGTTGTAAGCCGCCCCAAGGCTTTGGCGAATGGGGCAGCATAGAAGTTTACTAAATAAATAAATAAAAGAAGCCTACTTGGTTGAACAGTGGGATAAACATAATTTAAATAAATATGCATTAAAAAGCAGACTAAATTGCATCCATATTTTCCATAGCAAAAATATTTGTGGGAAGTAACTTTAGTTCCCAACCTTGCAGAGTCCCCACATGGACACCTCCCCTTCACTTTGTCATCTACGTTTAACAGTTGCCATTCATTCCAATGGAAAAATGTAAAAGGACATTACAGTGAGGGCAAACTCTACCTGGTGTCATTCACACACGAAAGGCCCTCAGAGCCAAAATCCTAAATATAGACAAGTCCGTATCACCAAGAAATGCAACTTTTCTGTTAAATGAAAGTGTTTACAACAGAGAACTTTTGTTAAAGGGTGATACAGAGCTCTAAGAAATAAACCATTTTTGTTCCCATCTAACAATAATGGAACAGCAGCTTTCAGTAGATGCAAAATTTAGGGTGCAATTGCAGTCATGTTTAAACAGAAAAAAAATCTAAAACTTCCAGCATTCTCAGCCACCATGGGGAAGAAATAGAAAGCGGCTGCCAGGAAAGACTAAATTAATGCTATTTAGTGTCTCTTTCTCAACCTATCTGAATCCTAAAGCTGCACAGCATTTCCTGAAATGCAAATCATCATTTCTACATAAGAGGCTGGCACCCCTCTCATGTACGCATTCTATTCTCCTTCCTCCCAAACGGGAAGAGGGAGGCAAGAAGAAGGGTGTAACTCATGTCAGAAAGCCAGTAAAAATCAGATTATTGCTCTTACTATCACAGCCTTTGCATTTGGTCATCCTATGCAGCAAAATTAGTATCAAGAAGCATCAGTCCATGGGGAGGGGGGGGGACCAGTGTTTTTCTGGGCTTAAAGACTAACACATTTGTCCTGGCATAAAGTTTCCTGGACGCTAGCCTCTTCATCGCGTGGAATTTATCCATCTCACGTTGCAAGCAATATCCACAAAAGCTTTTATCATAAATGTGTCAGTTTTTTTAAGTCTGCACGTTTACACAGAAAGGGGTTCTACAACTCCCAGCGTTCAGCCGACACACTTTCCATTCTTCCTCCTGCTGGCTCCGGAAAGCTGAGTTGCAGGATTTGACTGAAGAGGTATAGGATTGCGCCCTAAGGTGCCACCAGGCTCCGCGCTACTGGTGGTGCGGCGGGCTAACGCAGAGTCCCTCCCTGCCAAATGAAGTCCAAGGCCCTTCCAGAGGACTCGCTCGCTCCTCAAGGAGCGTGCAAAGGGAGGCGCGCCGCTCCCTCCCGCCGCCGGCCGCCGCCCGCGCCCCACGACTCACGCAGGTGCCCCCGAGCGGCCCTCTTTCGACCACGGCCACCCGCGCGCCGAACTCCGCCGCGCGCCGAGCACTGGCCAGCCCGCCCGAGCCGCCCCCCAGCACGAGGTAGTCGAAGGCCGCGGCGGACGAGGAAGCGCCGCGGAGCTGCGCCATGGCGGTGGCTCGCCGGGCAGGAAAGAGCAGGGCTGTGGCGACACGAAGCCGCGGCAGCCGCATCCCGCCCTCCCCACGCCCCTCGCCCGGCGCTCCAGGAGCCGCCGCGCTCGCCGCCCGAGGCGCACGCAGCCGGGGGCGGGCCACCCCGGGGCCTCGCCCCGCCTCGCCCGGCGGCAGCCCTTCTCCAGCCTCTGGTTGGCCGCGCCGCCAGCCACTCTGCCAGACGGGCGGCGAAGGGAGCCACGGACGCCTGGGAGGGGGCGGAGATGCAAAGGCAGTGCTCTGCCTGCTCGGAAATGTTGCTCCCGAGGCGCTTTGGGGGCGGAACCTATGGGGCTGCTCTGTCTCCCACGGCTGGGCTGGGTTGGTGCTCCGTTTCTGTTCCGCGGCCTCTAATTGCACCATGGACTCTGCTACGTTAAAGCAGCGAGACGCCCCGTTTTCCCAGGAATGGTCGCTCAAGACATGCTTGACTTTCCCTTTCCCTGTAATCGCGCCGGGAGTGCAGAGTCGCAGCCAAGCGGGCAGTGCCCTTCAGAGGAGGGAAATCAACCCGGGGAACTGGGGTTGAATGCTTTGGTCTGCAGGAACTTTGTTTTTTGCAGCTCGCGTCCAGACTTTTCTTTCAGCGCTCAGTTCGAGAATTATCTGACATCAGCATTTGAGAAGCCTCGAATGTTCTCATTCTCTTGACTAACCCCTATTTTCCATTCTTTTCTGTTTCAGGTTTCCATTATAAGCATGCTTCTTTTCATGTGTGAAATGTTTGGATGGTACAGAATCCGGTAGCAAGGGCTAATAGTTTCTGTTGCAGGTTTACCTGTAAATGGGAGTCCTTTCTGGCCTGCCAATACACTTGCTTAGTTTCTCTTTCAAAAATATAATACAGAGCATTGCAACTTTCTACTACGAGGGTCTAGTATGCGGGCAGGGATGAGCAGCTGGTGGAGTTTTCTACTAAAGTAGTAGGAGGGGATGGTATTTGCCTAGGAGATCATAAAGAACACCGATGTGAAATTGCTGATTTTCTACTTTAATGATATCACATGTTCCTAAGACTTTTTATTTTTAATCAGAAGATTGGAAAGTGGCCAAGGCTAATTTTTTATAAAGGGATGCAGGGGGAAATCAGTTTATCATCTGTTCCAAATAAATTAGTGGCAAGTGTTATTAAAGATAAAATTATTGAGCACACAGAAGTCTTGCAGAAGAACAAGGTTCCTGCCAGGGTAAATCCTGTCTTAACATTTTAGAGTTCTTTGCACGTATCAACAAGCATGCAGATACATGTGATCCACTGAGTAGACATTGCTTACTTAGACTTTGTCGAAAACCTTTTGACAGAGACTCTCAACAAAGACTCTTGTCAAAATTTAGCCCCTATGGGATAAGAGAAGAGCTTCTCCTTTGGATTAGTAGTTGATTAAAGAACCAAAAGCAGAGAGTGGGAATAAAGCCACATGAGATATGGAAGTAGTGAAGTTCCCCAAGAATCTGTATTGGTACCAGTGCTTTTTAATGCATAAATGATCTGGAGGTGGGGTAAGCAGTGAGGAGGCCAAGATTGTTGATGGCACCAAGTTATTTGTGGTTGTTAAAATAAAATGGGACAGCAAACAGCTCCAGAAGATCTCTCCAAACTGAAAGAATTGGCATCAGAATGACAAATGTCATATATGTATGTATGTGAGGCCCTTTGTCTAATCTGGCATGGCTGTTCCCACTAAATTTAGGGCATCTCACATTCTCCTCCTCCCCTAAACCACCCCATTTGTCTATATTTCACCCATAACAAAATTTGTGAGGAAATCAGGATTACACATGCTAGCATAATGAGGCCAGATTTAGTTAGTGATCACCAGATAAAAGTAAAGAGTCTACAATTATTTACAGTCCAGTGTGTTTATTGATATTGGTCTTTGGACAATTAATAGAGAACAAATCTGAGCTCGTAACCTTTTTTGAGGGAAGGTCAGTGACAGAGAGAGACTGGAACTTGAATTCTCTGTAACCAAGGTATAAGCCACACTTCAAAATAGCATCTGAATTTCTGGGTGGGGAGAGAGAAAGAGAGAGAGACACCAAATTAGACCAAAGTGGGAACCCAGGAAACTGCCACGTGTCCTATCTTTTTCACAATTTTGAACATCTCTCCAAAAAAAAAAAAAAAAACAACTGTTCTGGCTTCCTCTTGAGTAACCCTAATGTAAGGAGATGTGGCTACAATTGCTATAACATGTGTAACTCCTGTCCTGCATAAGCTTCATGCCCAGTGTGAAAAAATGGTTTGTTGCAACACCCTGGCTTTCTTGCTAGAGTATGTTCTCCAGCGAGTTACACCATACAATACCAACTGGGGAAAGCCCACCTATACAAAAAGATTTTGTATCATAAAAGAAGATCCATTTCCCTTTTCAAAAGCAACAGAACTTAGTGGCTATTTGTGCCTCTTTGGTAAGATGATGTCCGAACCACATGGGAGCAACCAGAGTGAGTTCCGGTGCTGAAGAGGCACTCAGCAAAGACACCTTTGTGGCCCATTCAGCATCAATGGTCCCAAAGGGCCATGGGCCTGCCTAACCGTAGCACCTCCAGGCTGCCATTTTAAATCTTCCTCTGTGTCCTTACACCAGGCATCTCATGTTAGCTCAGGCTGTACTGGTAATTTGAGAAGGGAGCGTCAAAGCCATTCTAGATATTACTCAGAATTAAGTGGGAGGCAGAGGAGGTAGAACTGAATTCCTTTAGAGTGCAGATAGGAGGTAGCGTTTTTAAATGTTCCCAATATCTTTGCATGTAATAAATTAGCACATCAGGGACTCTGCTGGAAAGAACTGTTAAAGTCATTTTTCTGGTGTGAGGTTTGCGTGTTTACTTCCGGGAAAATTAAAAGTGATCACCACCACAACTGACCTGCATTCTGAAATGGTCAGGTCAAGCACTCATATTACTTCCTGTTCTGAAATATGCTCTCAACTAACACTGGGTGAGCTTTTCTCAGCATGAGCAATCCTCATGCTAGACACAATTCTTCAGGGCAGTATGGTTTTCAGACTATATCCAGGGATATCAAGGGCAGGATGCTTATCCTTGGAAGCTTATTTTATTTTTATTTATTTATTAAAACATTTCTATGCCGCCCCTTGCCGAAGCCTCGGGGCGGCTCACAGCATAGAGGGATTCTACAATGGGAAGGACAGGCATGACTGACAAGCTTTGCCGAGTCAGCCTGTCCGCCTGCTAGGTGCAGCCATGGGAGAGAGTGTTGTATCCTGGGATGTGCTTTCTTTCTTGTACAGGACAATATAGGATGCAGCTGGCTCAGCCACTATCCTGCACCAGCAGAGCAGACACACTAGCACAGCAGAGGAGCCTTTGTAGCATGCATGAGTTCTCTGGTCAATATGGAAAGTATTTCCCAAACTTTGGAAACCTGTTCTGTGCAACACTATCTCTACATTACACATGTGCGTGTTCTAAATTCCTTGTTATAATTTCCAGAGATCTAGCCATGTTAATCTGTCACTGGAAAAACAGTGAAGAGTCCTGCAGCATCTTAAAGGCTATCACATTTATCACGAGATACACTTCTGTGGACTAGATTCATTTTACTGGATTCATTATTATCCTCAGTGTAGGCTCTGTGTGTGTCAGAATGAGAGAGAGAGAGAGAGCGAGCGAGCGAGCTATAATGAAGTGGGACCAGATGGTTGCAAAATGCAAAATGCAGTTGGACAATACAACTAGAGTTTAAGCAATAGAATTAGTGGTATAGAAAATAAATAAATATTCCTCCTATGCAGGTTTAGATAGAAAGAAATCTTACATCTCCCAACATGCTGGCTGGGGAATCGTTGGAATCATGGGACTTCTTATAATTCCTATAAATCTGCATAGTATTGTTTCCTAAAAGTATGCAAAATATGATTTGTATTGGTCACTGTAGTTATTTTGCATACATTTAAGATCTAATTAAATTGTTTCAGACTCTGCTTATGTATTTCAGGCTTTACCAATTCTCCTTTCTATACTGTGTAAATAACAATAACTGACAATAATAATTCAGGAAGTGGACTCTTGTCCATGAAACTTAGGTCAAAATGATCTGATTAGTCTTTAAGGTGCTCCAGGACTTTGTGATTTTTGCTTGAGTTACTAATTAAAACTAAAGGTATACTTTATTAAAAATAAAAGTAAAATTGTACGTATTGGCAAATATAAAGCCAGGCACAGAAAAGTCATCTATCAGGGCAGTGCAATATATCCTATTACATGCAGAATTGTAAGAAAACCAGAAATCCAAACACATTTTACTTGTCTCAGTTTCTTGTTTCTCTGGAAATCACATTGGTCCAAGTCAGGTTGTACCCTTTTCCTGCACACTGTCCGGCGGATATCAACATCAAGCCTGTATTTCAGCCCTTTCACTACCTAGAAAAAGCAGTTGCTACTTCATTAAACAGGCCACAGTAAGAACAAAGTGGAGAGAATGCAGGGCGCTTAGTAAATATTGAATCCAGGAACAAATACAAGATTTTCCAAAGGGTAATATGACAGACATATTGGTGCCTGTAATGTGTATATTGAAAACACGGTTATCTCGGTTCTCAGGCTTTGTAAAAACTGTAAAATCTCTTTGACGACAGATAAAAGGATCGACATCATGGAGGCGGGTAAGAGTTCCACTCAGCAGCAAATAGGACCAGCATGTACATGTTCCCATGTCTTTCTTGTTTCTTTTTCCCTGTTTATACTCAGATTATTAGGGCAAGCGGGTATATATAGTTACAGATCCTCAATTTCTTCTTATTTATAAAATGCATGATCCTTTTCCACAGCCAAATAGTGTTTCTTTTCTGAAGTAAATGTGTTCAGCATCAGGGCTGCAAAACCAAACTACATTTTATGCCTGTAGTTAAGCTTAAAATATGGAACTGTACATACTCAAGAGTATTTTGTTTTCATCATGATCGGCAGACAGGTATTGGCTTGTTTTTTTCCAACAAGTCAAAAAGTGGGGGAAGTACAGAAGCATGAAATTGTAGCGCCAGAGGGACAAGACTAATGCGAGCCATGCGCTTCTTCACGACTGAAATAATATACAGGATTGTAACACTGCAACAAGAACATCATGGCTGGGGGGCGAAAAGTTGCTTTGCTGCATCACTATCATACCATCTCTAATTTTCTGAAAAGCAACTCTCTCCAGCTCAATATTGCGGAGCTTTGGAGCAAAGTTCCAGCTGCAGATTTATCTCAAGGAATTACACGTACCTTGGAAATACCTGGCCTCCCCATGGAGTGTTTAGCCATCAACACAACAACAACAGCTGAACCAAACTGTAAGCAAGTGCTTGTTTTGCCACCGTTCATGTTAGAACCGGAATGATAATACAACTGGAGGCTGTAGCTTGACCTTTCTTGCAGGAATGTACCATCTTTCATTGGCATAAAATGAGCAAATGGGATTTTGCTTGTGCTGTAAAGAATATGTACTGCACATTTGTGGCTGCAAACATCTGGATGATTTCTTACCTGTATTGTGGCGTTGTTTATGCAAGATTCTTTGAATAGGAATATGTCATTTGAACTGTTATTGTATCTGTAGACACCAAACCTGGCAGCTTTCTGAACCCCTGGGTCATTGGTCTTGACATGGACAGGAACTCCAGGCTGAATATTTGAATTGGGCAACTGGCCTTTTATACCTGAACAAAGACAACAATTCACAAATGGGCAGTACTTTAGAAACTTTAGCCTGTGGGCAAATATGTTATACAGCACTGCACAAGATGTATTCCCTTGTGTATCAGTAAGTTCTTAAGCTTAATTCACGAAGTAGCTATGAAGTCTCATATAGCTTCTGCACGTGACTCTGATTATTTCTACAGAGTGGAGCCATACAATGTGCTGTTGTGATGAGGGATGGCTGGTGCTTCCCAAATGTTGGGGTACCATATAAGCTCCACCCACCTGGGCAAGTTCATCACACTTGTCCTTGGTTCATCCACCCAGGGCTCCTCACACTTGCTTCATCCGAGCTGCATGGATGGCTCTGCTTTCAGCAGCGATATCCAATAGAAAGTTCAGAGGTGGTTTATCTCACAAGCCTCATAAGATGCTAGGAATACATGACAGGAAGGTGTAACCTTCCTGGTGTTGTATGGTTGGTCTGGGCTTGAAACGGAGGCCAAGACTGACACAATATTAAAGCATCTTTAAAGTCTTTAAAGTCCAGGTTTTCTACATAAGTCAGGGATCTCCTCTCAAGCTAAACAGATGCTTCAGAGGAGGGATTTTCCTGGGGAGCCCTGGGAAGAGAGGAAAGGATTACATTTTCTCTCCATACCTGCAGCAAGCACAATAATTATCGGTTCCCCACCCCACGCCCCAGTGGTGCTGTCTGCAATTTTTAAAAACCAGCATGTTAAATATAAAGACACAGGACTGGGTTTTGATTTAGGACAAAACTGTACACTGGAAAAAGTGAACTATTTCACTGCCACCTTCCTATGCCAGCCCCCTCAGCCCCTTGAAAATGTTATTTTGAGTCAGAAGACCCTGCTGAAGGGAGAAAGCTGTCATATGTGTGGGGGAGGGGGAACCCTCCAAAATCGGGTGAAAGGACTTTCCACGAACAGAATCCTGCATTGCCTTCCTCCTGCATAAGGTTGATCCTGGATCAAACCCTCCGTTTGGTCCTGAGTGATAGACCAGATGGAGGCAACAAGTGACTTGCCCAAAGCTAAACACTGAGTAGGTCAGAGCTGAAATTGAGACACTAACTTCAAAGAACTTAGAATCATCGAATCATAAAAAAATTGGAGGGGCCTATAATGCCATCAAGTCCAACTGCCTCCTCAATGCAGGACCCCAAATTAAAGCATCCCTGACAGAGGGCTGTTCAATCGCGTCTTGAATACCTGCAGGGTGCGATAGTCCCCCACCTCCCTTGGTCACTGGTTCCATTGCTGTCCTGCTCTAACAGGAAAAATTTTCCGATGTCTTGTCAGAATCTGGTTTCTTGTAACTTACTATTCCATGTCCTGCAGTCTGCAATGATTGAGAAGAGATCCTGGCCCTCCTCAGTGTGACAACCTTGCAAGTACTTGAATGATGTTATCATATCTCCCCTCAATGTTCTCTTCTCCAGGCTCAACATGACCAGCTCTTTCAATCTCTCCTCACAGGGCTTTGTTTCCAGTTCCTGGACCTCTGTGCTGCCCTCCTCTGCACTTTTTCCAGTTTGTCTGCATCTTTCTTGATGTGTGGAGCCCAGAAGTGGACACAGTACTCTAGATGGGGCATAACTAGTGCTGCATGGAGGGGAACCAGTATTTCACATGATCTGAAAGCTATACTTCTATGAATGCTGCCCACTTATCTGACTAAATACTTTTCAGCTGGAACTAAATTTTACAGAAGGCAAAGACAAGTGACTTGTTCAAGGGCATGTCCTGAGCACAAGGGAGAGGTGAATCTAAGCTCCAGAAGATCAATCATTGCCAGTAATTCCCCAGCCAGTTAATTCTCCCCAGTGAAGTTGCCTCCCAGATCCTGTTAAAATTAATTTATGACCCATTCTTTCTTCCAAAAGTGCAACTCCAATTAAAAGAAAAGAGACAGCCAACTTCAAATATATTTTTTCCTACAGGCTAAGTCCTTGTGGGTAGTCAATGTAAGCTAGTACCATTTCCATGTAAGTGCTTAATATTTATTTATTGGGCACGTGTCATCACACTGCCTCTGTATTGCATATAATCCCCCAAAACATTGCAGCATTTAGGTAGAGACTCTTCCTTGCTTTCCTAATTTTGAAAAACATTTTCTCCTCTTAATGAAACTGTTGCACAATCTTGCCACAATTTTGCACAATTTTGCCAATTTTGTGTTGTTCATGTTTAGTCCACCCCAGGCTTCTTAAGCCTGGTAGCTTTCAGATGTGTTGGGCAATGGAAGGCCAGACAAAACTTCTTTATCAGACAAATTTGGTCCAGAAGGTGCTAGCTTGCTTCCCATTGGTTTGAAACACTCCTGATACAAATGTCACTTATTACCTTCCTATTGGTTTAGCAAACAAATGGCTATCTGATGAATCTAGAATGAGCAAACAGAGCATGCAAAACCGATGCCATGAGAGGAAGAATCAATTGCTTCTTGCTTTCTTTCACAGTTGAAAACCCTTCTGTTGTTTAATGCCATTCTGAAATTGCCCAAGACTCTGTAAAGAGTGTTAAAATGACATTGCAAAATTGTACACAAGCGGAAAAGGCTATGTTTTTAAATGATGAGTCAGATAGTGGCCTGCATAAGCTGGTCATGCATCCTGCAGCTGATAAAATGACAAGCCTAGTTGATTGTCATTAGAAAGTACTGTCGAAATAATTCATGGTACAAAAAGCAGGCCATTTTTGTCTCTTAACCAGCCTGGGCTGGTTCAGACATTCATATTCATCAGGTGCTGGCTAAAAGTACCAGTTGAGCAAGGCCACAGAAATCGAGTAACGCAGCTCCTAATGTGGCCTGCAAAAGCTCACTAACAAAACTCCTACATGCCATAAACTTTCATATTTGACTTCTTATTTTTTCAGTACCTATAAATACATAAATACTGAAATTGTTGCCTAACCTCAACTATGCTAAATACTAAAGCAGGAGGGACATAAGCTTGAAATAGGGTAAGAAGAATGGGACCAGCATGTCTATTTATGTACATGCTTAGGTGGCAAGGAGTTGTTAAGTTAAAATTCCTGGATTGTCATGAATGAGCCAGCATGCTAGTCCACATGATTCAGTCACTTCCACTTAATTCATCCTACCAGGAGAAGCTAAACAATGCAATGGCACTGTTTTTGGTTGTTTATCACGAGGACAAGCCAGGGGAGAGACAAGCCCTAGTTTGGGGTCTGGAGTCAACCCCTGGGGTGTTTAGCCTCAGCTGGGCTGTTAGCACACATGAACCAGTTTGCGGGGGAAGCTGTTTGAACACGTCTCTGCTCTGAGTTGTGAGTGCATGTTCAAACCACTTTATCACGCTTTATGTTCACACCCATAATGGCCAACAGTTGGTCAGTTGCTTGTCTCCTGTGTTCTTCTCTTTTGCTGGAAGTCTCACCATCCAGAGTGCTAAATGGCACAGCAGGCCATGGTTCCATTGCATCATCCCTATTTGGTGGGTGTCTCACTGCAAGTGTTAACAGTATTCAGTGCCCCTCTTTAAAAAAAATTGAAATTGCTGGTTATTTTAAATATACTTTTTAATGCCTAAAGCCGTACCAAATCTTATTTTTAACTCCTCTCCTTGCCTTCACCCCTCTCAATGGAAAATGAAATAGAAAGGGTGTGATACCAGTTCATCAAGTAGCACACAGTTGCCTTTTATCCTCCATATAAAGAGAATCTGAAAAGATTTTGTGTTCTGCCCTGTCCTTTAAGAACAATCTGGCAGCTATTTAGCAGGTGAAGCTTTTCCTTACATGGAGATACTGTGAGAAGAAATTCTACCTGCTAAACTTGTGTGATGCAGGGTGCTGGCAGAAGCAAAGGAATGGAGATAGTAAGAACAGGTGGTATCTTGAACATGTCTTTTTAAGATGCAAACTGCAGTTGATTCAGCTGTTACCAGGCCAGCTTGCCATAGCCGCTCCTTGCTTAAATGATGGATTTGTGAACCCTCCCTTCAGATTTAGAAGTAAAAATGCAGCACTTACACAATGCCTAACAGAATTTTTGACTTTAGGAGAATAATGCTGCTTGTGCCTAATGTCACTAAATACCCTTATGCAGATACTGTAGAAGGAATATAAAAGTTGCTTACCAGTCCAGGTCACATCACAGAGAAGCAGAGAGCAAAGGAGACTCACTCTCCACCCAACAACCATTGTGGATACTTAATGATAAGTAAAGAACATGTCACTTGCTTCTTACACCCAGTACAGGAAGTGGGGTTACCACTGCTAGTTCAGGAAATCACATTGGTTAGGCAAAGCAAGTTTTAAAAGCCCCTTCTATTCTGTTTTTTAATCCTTGCAAAACCCATATTTCATTGCAAAATTTATTTTTCAACAGTGTTGGATTAGCAATTGATAGGAGCAATCAGGAGTTTGGCGGTGGAGTTCAGTGGGGGAGGTCGAGAAGGAACTTCCTAACATTTTTTTCTTTCTCTTCTTCTTTTCCTTTTAGTCCCCCCCCCCCCCGCTTCCTTTGTTTTCTTCCTTGTAACACTCTCCCATCTACTGGTAGGATTGTGTTGTTAGCCTTTAATGAAGGCAGGAGATAGCAAAGGTTGTTGCAACGGGTCTGACAAGGTAGAGTCCAAAAGGTAGCTGAAAGAATGGACTGAAAAGACTTCCCAGTGGCAGCAACCTGCAATGTCTGTGTAATGTTTGTATTCCTTCCTGAGGGCAACATGGCCTACACATGCCACAAGTGCAAACTAGTCGCCCTTTCAGAAGAAAAGGTGAGCAGGTATTCAAAGAAGATTCAAAGAAGTTTTTAGCCACAGCTAAGAGTAGTACAGAAGCTAGAATTGCAAAAGCAAGCTGAGGTGAAATAAGAAAATCCCGAGGGAAGGGAAAATGAGGGCGCTCCCTGGAAAAGAATTATTGGTCCAGAAGAACTGGAAGACATTCTGCATCACTGGAAGTAGTGGAACTCTTGAACCACTTTCAGTTACTTGGGGATGAGACTGGAGGGCAGCCTGCTGTGGAAGAACTGCAAGACTGAACAAGAGGTTAAGGGTCAGCCAAGTAATGGTAATAATACCAAGCTTTGCAAGAGCAAGAAGAGAAGAGTGTTAATTGTGGGGGATGCCCTGTTGCATGGGATGGAAGCACATGCATGTCAGGAAGACCTGTGGACTCATCAGGTACGCTGTCTCCCTGGAGGACAGATTAGCAATATAACTGAAAGATTGCCGAGACTCATACAGCCCACTGGTATGTATCCCTTCTTTCTTATACATGTGGGAACAAATGGCATTCTCAAGTAGAGTTTTGAAGAAATCACATCAGACTTTGAAGGTTTAGGGAGGAAAGTCAAGAACTTTGGGACCCTAAAATCCTTCCAGTTCTTGGAAGAGGAATAGACAGGGAAAGACAAATATTCCAAGTGAGTGCCTGGCCACAAAGGTGGAAGTGACATGAGAGATTTAGATTCTGGGACCGCAGGTCTAGAAGATGGACTGCTGGCAAGGGATTGGTTGCCGCTTACAAGGACTGGAAAGAATGTGTTTGGCCACAGCAGTGAATAAGTTTATCAGGAGGGCTTTAAACTGAATCCTACAAGGAAGGGAGACGTACACATGGGTGTAACCACGGAAAAAGGCTTATGGACCACAACAGAGAGAGCAGCTCTAACAGTACCCAATAATAGTCTTCCAAAAATGTAGGAAAAAAGCTAGAGTATAAAGCATGTGGTCTTCAGTTTATACTAGTGCCCAGAGTATGGAAAAAGAGCATGAATTTGAACTCTTAATACAAGAGGGTACATGCAACCTGATAGCTTTAACCTAAACTTGGTGGGAAGACTCCCATGGCTGGATTTCAACTCTTGAAGGACATACCTTTTCAAACCAAACCAAACCAAACCAAACCAAACCAAACCAAACCAAACCAAACCAGAAGGAACAAAGGGAGGCAGAGTCACACTATTACTTATTTCTGCACAGAAATACAAGTGAATGGTTAAAATAAATGGAGCAAAGAATAAGAGGAGGACAGTGGTTGAAATCTATTATTGACCACCTAGTCAAGGAGAAGACAAAGAAGAAACTGTTGAAAAGCAAATTGCTGGTGTTGCAAGGAGGCATCCTGTTGTGGTTATGGGGACTTCAGTTTCCCCAATATATATTAGGAGACAAATGTTGCCTAACACAGTCCTTCCAAGAGATTCCTGACATGTGTTGCTGATAACTACCTCCAACAGGAAGTGGAGGAAGGAACAAGAGGAAGGGCTATCCTTGACTTGATAGTAAATGGCAGGGGAGACCTAGTGAACAAAGTGGCAATTATGGGAACTCTGGGGGAAAGTGACCGTGCCATACTTAAATTCTTGATTGTAAAAAATCAGAAGTCAAATGCAGCAAAACCTGTACTCTGGATTTTAGGAAAGTCAATTTTAATAAGTTCAGAACCATGATAAGTCCTATGGAAATGAGAAAAGGAGTCCAAGATGGATGGGGATTTTTTTAAAATGAAATTCTAAAGGCATAATTACAAACAATTCCAACAAGGAAAAAGGGTAGAACAGAAGAAGCCTATGTGGCTTCACAAAAGGCTTAGAGTTTATCTGAAAACAAGAAAAGGACATGCATAGGAAGTGGAAGGAAGGCCAAGCTACAGAGGGAATACAGGCAAGTAAGACAGAATTGCAGGGAAATTATCAGGAAGGCTAATGCTAGGAATGAACTGAGGCTAATGAGGGATGCTAAAAGCAGCCAAAAAGACTTCTTCAGATATGTCCAAAGTAAAAGACAGAGGAACGAAATGGGTGTCCAACTACTCAGTGTGGGTGGTAAATTGATAACAGATGACAAAAGGCAGACACGCTCAATTCCTACTTTGGCTCAGTCATCTATTAAAGAGGATCTATTACTTTCTTGATGAAGGAGAAATACAAGGTGAAGGAACAGGATGGCAGCTCAAGATTTATAGGCAAATAGATAAGGATCATTTAAAAGGGCTGAATGAGTCAAAGTCTCCAGGGCCCAATGAACTGCACTCTGGAGTCACAAAGGAGCTGGCAATAGAACTCGCAGAACCACTGTCTATTAACTTTGGGACATCATGGAGGACAGGGGAAGTGCCAGATGACTGGAGGAGAGCTAATGTTGTCCTCATCTTCAAGAAAGAAAAAGGACAACAACCTGGGAACTGCAGGCCAGTCAGTCTGACATCAATCCTTGGGAACATTCTGGAGCAAATTATAAAGCAGTCATTCTGCAAACACCTTGAAAGCAATGCATGGAAACCCTGGGAGAGAGGCTGAAAAACAACTCTCAAACCTTGTGTGAAAATGTTTGCAAGAACCTAAGAAATGGAGCCCCATATGACTGCTAGCAGCATCCTTCTTCTGTGCCATGCGTAGGAGCTGTTTGTATGGCTGCCCTTGACAAGGAGGAAAGTTGGTCACACGGGGCTCACCAGGAATGGAGGCCTGCACAATTGCTGCTGCATGTGATGCGGAAGAAGGTTGCCTGTTGCACAACCTTCTTTCCACAAGTGTTCACAGTCTTCCTCTTGGCTTGCTCATTTTGCAATACCAGGCCAAGCACAAGAGGAAGTCCACAAATACTAGAAGGATGGATTCCACAAGAGTTCATCCCAACCCTACACAAACCATCAGCCAGGTTAGTCAGTTTCACTACCTTCAGCTCACCTGTTTTGTCTGGATTGAGCTTAGCCTCTTCACCCTCATGCACCCTTAATTGCCTTCAGACATCAAATCAAGAGTTCCACGAGTTTCTTGGGGTGACTAGATGGGAATGTGAGCTGCACGTCGTCTGCTTATTGGTGACACTGCAACCCATACCTCTGAATGACTTCTCCCAGTGGCTTCCTGTAGATGCTGAATAGCACAGAGGACAGAAGAAGAGCCAAGCTGGATCAGACCAAGGTCCATTGAGTCCAGCTTTCTGTCCACACAGTGGCCAAACAGCTGCCCACAGAAGACCCACAAGCAGGACAACAACTGGTGTACATAGGCATACTGCTGGTGGCAGCATGTAGCCATCAGGACTAGTAGTCACTGGCAGCCTTACCCTCTTGGAATTTGTCTGATCTCCATTTAAAAACATCCTCACCACCTCCTGCGGAAGTGAACTGCATTGTTCAGCCATGTCAGTGTGAAGAGGTACTTCCTTTTATCCATCCTGAATCTGTCCACCAATCAGCTTCATGGGATGACCTTGGATTCCACTATTATGAGAGAGGGGGAAATGTCTCTTTAGCCACTTTCTCTATACCATGAACACCTCTCTCATGCCTCCTCTTACCTCCTTTAAGTCCCAGATGTTGTAACCTTCCTTAGTAGCCCCTTGATCATTTTAGCTGCTCTCTCTGCACTTTTCTCAGCTGTACAATATCCTCTCCTTTTTACAATGTGGTGACCAGAACTGCGCACAGTATCCTAAGTGAGGCCGCACCACGCATCTGCATGATAGTGTCATCTTTGTTTTCAGTTCCTTTCCTAATTATACCTAACATGGAGTTTTTCTCTTTTACAGCTATAGACTGGGTCAACATATTCATAACCCCAAGATGTCTTTATTGGACAGTCAGCAGAAGCTCAGATCCCATCAGTAGATACATAAAGTTGGGCTTCTTTGCACCGACATGTATCACTTTACACTTGTTTACATTAAAGTGCATTTGCTATTTGCCTGTGCATTCCCCCAGTTTGGCAGATCGCTCTGGAGCATTTAGCAGTCTCTTCTTGTTTTTACCACTCTTACTAAATTGGTGTAATTAGCATTCACCTTACTCTTAATTTCAGATCATTTATGAATGAGTTCAAAAGCACTGGTCCCAACACAGAACCCTGTGAGACTCTACATCTCTCCATTGGGAAATTTGCCATTTATTCCTTCTCTCTGATTTACTCCAACTGTTCTGTAGCCAGTTACTGATTCATAAGAAAATTTCCCTTTTTATTCAATAACTGCTCAGAAGTCTTTGGCAAGGGACTTTATCAAAGGCCTTCTAGAACTCCATGTAAACAGCATCTACTGGATTGTCTCATCCACCTGTTTGCTGACTTTCTCAAAGTTCTCTAAAAGGTTAGGGAGACTATCTTTGCAGAAGCCATGTTGATATTTTTTCAGCAAGGTTTCTCCCTCTATATGCCTATTATCTTTTCAATAGTTTACCCAGAATAGATATTAAGCAAAAACGTTTGGTATT